GCCTGGAGCCTGTTTCCGATTCTGTGTCTCCCTCTCTCTCTGCCCCTCCCCCGTTCATGCTCTGTCTCTCTCTGTCCCAAAAATAAATAAAAAACGTTGAAAAAAAAATTTTAAAGGATACTTGAGATTCCTCAATTAAGTGTGATATAGGAGAGTAACAATGTAGAAAAGGAAGATTTAAAACTGGCAATTATATATTATTGCTCCCAGGGTCCACTGGTCACCCTTTCCTTTGGAATTCCCTGCTGGCCCTTTGTCTCCAGAGCCCCATAATATTGCTGCTTTGTTGAAGCTAGATTTTCTCTTTTCTTCAGAAACCTCATGATTATACCCTGTCACTGAGACAAGAATGATTCAGTATGGTATACCAGTTGTTAAAATAGTGAGATCCTTCCGTACGGAGTTGATCCTTCTGTATTTCCGGATATTTGCTGCCCTGACCTCCCCCTGATTCCCTCCCACCCCTCCAGCCTTCTCCAAGAAGCCCCTGGGCCCCACTGTTATCCAGCAACTGATGCCTTACACAGAGTGCTCCAGGGAAGGCTCTGGAACTCAGCTACAGAATCCATGCTATTAAGTAGGCTCCTGTGAATCCATGCTATTTAGTAGGCGCCCTGTTTTATCAGTTGTTGAATATCTTAAGATATTTAAGATATCCTGTATGCTACCAATGAATACAGTAGTCACCCCTTATCCACAGGGGATATCTTCCAAGACCCCCGGTGATGCCTAAAACTGCAAAGGCCTATATACATGCACACACTCTATGTTTTTTCCTATACATACATACCTTGGATAAAGTTTATAAATTAGGCGCAGGAAGAGATTAACAACAATAATAATAAAATAGAATAACTATAACAACATACTATAATCCAAGCTATGTGAATGTGCTCTCTCTTAAAATATCTTACTGTACCTTACTCACCCTTCTTGTGATGCTGTGAGATGATAAAATGCTTACGTGACGAGATGAAGTGAGGTGAATGACATAGGCATTGTGATGTAGCATTTAGGCTACTGTTGGTCTTCTGTCCAGAAGGACATCATCTGCCTCCAGACCACAGCTGACCATGGGTAATGGAAAGAGAGGAAAGCAAAACCACAGATAAAAAGGGGACTACTGTAATCATTTAATGATAGATGAACAGAATTTTTACCTTTTCGGTCTAAAACATTGATACTACTCTTCAAGTTCAGGATTTCCTCCAAAATAATGAGTGATTATAAGCCCAACATTTATGGGAATAAAAAATTGTCCAAAGGGGCTCTTCCAAGAAAATATACCAGGCTTTTCCCAAAGACATTGATGCTTCTACTCCAGATGGTAGAAACTGATGTTTTAAAAAAATTATTGTGTTTACCTAGTTACTTCTTGCCATTTTATACTTGTATGCCTTGTCTGTCTAACATAAATTACATATTGTATTACTCCATCACTCCCAGCACAGTGCTGCCCAGACAGCAGTAGGTGTCTGATAAGTACTTGCTGAACAAAATTTTTACATTTCCCCAGAAAAATCCATCAAGAGGACACTAACCACCTAAGTCAAAGGCATTTGAAGACTAAACTGATGCGGGTTTGGAAATCTATTTCACAAGGTCAGGATGCATCTGGCATTGCTTGCAGGAAAGAATGAAGCAGGACATATGTGCTGCCGTCTTGTAAACAAATATAAATATGAATATGACAATCTGAACTTAATGAGGAGGACAAAAGGCCCTGGCAAAGAGATAGATCTTCTCTGTTTCCCACGTACTTGCTATGATTCTTCTACATCAAAGGAATAAGGACAAACAAAATAAAAAGGTTATGGAATTCTTAACATATATTCCAGTAATTAAATTGAAGGCCTTTCAAGAAGGATCAAAGCCAAGTTTTACCCTTCAGAATGAATTCAACAGTGAAACTTAAAAGACACACACACACACACACACACACACACACACGCACACAGAGCCTTCAAAAAACTATGAAATGCCTGAATACCCAAATACCCATCAGTAGGAGAATAATTGCATAAATTTTATACATCTTTAGTATGGGATGCTATGCAACTATTAGAATGATGTGATGCATGTGTGTACTGATACGGAAGGAAGTACATAACTTATGGTAGGTGAGAAAAAACAAACTGCTGAATAATACAGCATCAATGTGTTTTGATGTAAGTTCTCATATAGTGGCCTGCTGGAGCTGACTTGTACTGGCTTCTGAAAGCCAACTGTTACATTTTCAGGAATTTGACAAGCTGATTGTTAAGCAGTGAATAGCTTAAAAGCAGCCACAATGAGTGTATTTGCACTAAAGAAATCCATACCTTACAAAGAAGGACTTTTTCACCTTTAAGAGAGCTGGTTTATCAACACATCACTGCTCAAAAATATGCAAATATTGGGGCGCCTGGGTGGCGCAGTCGGTTGAGCGTCCGACTTCAGCCAGGTCACGATCTCGCGGTCCGTGAGTTCGAGCCCCGCGTCAGGCTCTGGGCTGATGGCTCGGAGCCTGGAGCCTGTTTCCGATTCTGTGTCTCCCTCTCTCTCTGCCCCTCCCCCGTTCATGCTCTGTCTCTCTCTGTCCCAAAAATAAATAAACGTTGAAAAAAAATTAAAAAAAATATGCAAATATAAGTTTGTATAAGCTTATCCAATTATCTGGAATAATATCTACCAAAGTGAGTTGTTGATTTATAAATACTGATTTTGCAATCTTAAAAATTAAAAAAAAAAAACAAAACAGTAATCTCACAAAAAAGTGAATACTACCATCCTGGTGTAAATAAAACCCACTGAAAAGTCCAAATATAACATCTTCTGGTGACTAAGCTCAATATTTTTAAAAAGTCTAAAACAGTTTAATTAATGATATTTTAAGGGCTAAGCATGTATTTGTTAAACTTAGTATATTTCAAGTCTGTTTAATACTAAAGCTTAAATCACCTTAAAGGTTCAGAGCTACTTCATATCAGTTTAAACTGGCTCAAATATTTATAACATTGATAATGGAAAATGGATACTATCCATATAAATATATCTTTATGAGGATAATACTCTATGAGGCACATTCCTAGATTTAGATTTAGCATCAAAGCAAAGACTGTATCAATCATACTCCCATCAATAATGTGTGTGGAGAGCACCACACCAGTATCTGATATACGAAGATTAAAAAATATTTTAACCATCTGATAAGCAAAATGAATCCACAAAAAAGTAAATAAAAAGGATTTCTGTATTTCAGTTGACAGTTCTCTGATTATAATTAGTTTAGCTTTAAAAAATGTATTGATCAACTATTTGTATTTTCTGTGAACAATCTAGTTACCTAGTCATAGTCTTTGATAATTTTTAATTGGATTACTTTTTTATTGTTAATTAATTGTTGGAGTTCTTTAAATATCATGTTAATTAACTTATTATCTGTCAAGAGTGTTACAATTTTTAAAAAGGTGGGGTGTGCCTGGGTGGCTCAGAGGTTAAGCATCCAATTTTTTGTTTTGGTTCAGGTCATGATCTCGCAGTTCTTAAGATCAAGCCCGCTTGGGATTCTCTCTCTCCCTCTCTATCTGCCTCTCCCTGACTTGCGTGCACACTCTCTCTCTCTAAAAATAAATAAATAAACATTGAAAAAAAGAATGTGACAAACATTTTTTAAACATCAATTTCTTGCCTTTTAAATGGCTGGTGTTATTTTATAGTTTCTTTTTTTTGTATTCAGATATTTCAGTCTTTTCCCCTATGACTTCTGGATTTGGGATTATGCTTAAGAGGGCCTTTCCTACCCTAAAATTAAAAAAGAAAAAGAAAAAAAACACCTACTTTGCTCTACTTTTTGTACACATTGCGTGTGTGTGTATGTGTATGTGTGTGTGTGAGTGTGACTTAGGGATTTCATCCATCTGGAAGTTATTTTAGTGACTATGTAGAGTAGAAATTAATTGAACTAATGTATCATTACAAATCCTTACTCACTGATTTTTAAATTCCACATTTATTCTAATATATATATACATTTCACATGGATTCCTGAATTTTAGTATTTTATTGAGAAAAACTTCAGAGTAGTTCTAATTCATTTTTTCATGAGAATAAACTAAGCCCTTCAAGTGATGTTTAACTACTGTTCTATAAATACTATACAGCTAGAACAGAGAATATTTGATCATTTCTGCTATATAAAATTACTTGGCAGTGTAGGTATTGAGAGGTCTCATTTGATAATATAAATCTTTCTAGAATTGTCTTCAGTGCTTGATGCTGAAGCAAACTGTCCATAAAATGTGCATCTGGTTTAATGTAAGTCTTTAAGCCCATTTTTGAGGTTTAATCTACATTATGCTATTAAAAAACTATTATGAAAAAGGTTTTCAGTGTAACATTTCAAAGCCCAATGCACAGTTAAAATAAAACCATGCCTTTCTTTCTTTTCTTTCTTTCTTTCTCTTTCTTTCCTTTCTTTCTCTTTCTTTCTTTCTCTTTCTTTCTTTCTTTTCTTTTCTTTTGTTTTTTTTTGTAGCAAAATCTTGCCTGTGACAGTGTGTTTGCCAACATGGCCCCCAAAAAGAAGACTGTCAAAAAGAACAAAGGAGATATCAATGAGATGACCATAATCGTAGAAGATAGCCCCCTAAACAAATTAAATGCTTTGAATGGGCTCCTAGAGGGAGGCAATGGCCTTAACTGCATTTCTTCTGAACTAACAGATGCTTCTTATGGCCCCAATCTCTTGGAAGGCTTAAGTAGAATGAGGCAGGAGAACTTCCTTTGCGACTTAGTCATTGGCACCAAAACCAAATCTTTTGATGTTCACAAGTCAGTGATGGCTTCATGCAGTGAATACTTTTACAACATCCTAAAAAAAGACCCATCTACCCAAAGGGTGGATCTCAATGATATCTCACCACTAGGCCTGGCTACTGTCATCGCATATGCCTACACCGGAAAGCTGACTCTCTCCTTGTACACGATAGGAAGCATTATTTCTGCTGCTGTTTATCTTCAGATCCACACCCTTGTAAAGATGTGCAGTGATTTTCTGATACGGGAGATGAGTGTTGAGAATTGCATGTACATTGCTAACATTGCTGAAACATACTCTTTGAAAAATGCAAAAGCAGCAACCCAAAAATTTATCCGGGATAACTTCCTTGAATTTGCAGAATCAGATCAGTTTTTGAAACTTACCTTTGAGCAAATTAATGAACTTCTCATAGATGATGACTTACAGTTGCCTTCTGAAATAGTAGCATTCCAGATTGCAATGAAGTGGTTAGAATTTGACCAAAAGAGAGTGAGGTATGCTGCAGATCTTTTGAGCAATATTCGCTTTGGTACCATCTCTGCACAAGACCTGGTCAACTATGTTCAGTCTGTACCAAGAATGATGCAAGATGCTGACTGCCACAAACTTCTCGTAGATGCTATGAACTACCACTTACTTCCATATCATCAAAACACATTGCAGTCTAGGCGCACGAGAATCCGTGGGGGCTGTCGAGTCCTTGTCACTGTTGGGGGACGTCCAGGCCTCACTGAGAAGTCCCTTAGTAGAGACATCTTGTACAGAGACCCTGAAAATGGATGGAGCAAGCTTACAGAAATGCCAGCCAAGAGTTTTAATCAGTGTGTGGCTGTGATGGACGGATTTCTTTACGTGGCCGGTGGCGAAGACCAGAATGATGCAAGAAATCAAGCCAAGCACGCAGTCAGCAATTTCTGCAGGTATTTGATCCTTTATTAGAAACTCAAATGGTTTAATATAAGACAGTTTCCCTGACAGAAGTAAATTAGTCATTTCTGTTAGTTCATTGGCTCAGTAAATCAATAACAATAATCCCACATTACGTGTACACAACAGTTCACATTACATAAAGTACATGCATATATAAATAGTGCACTCCAGATTTCTGAATAAGCCTAGGAAATGAGCTGGGAAGATGTGGTTATTCTGATTATACACGTGAGAAATCTGATACCCAGAGAAGTTATACCACTAGTAAGTAGTAATTCACATTTTCTCATTTATAGTATGGCGCCCTTCCCAATACATTGTTTTCCTGAAAACGAACTAGGTACAAATGTAGTTTTTAACACTAGATGGTAAGAAAGATCACAATAATACAAAATTTATTTTAAGTGACTGTCACTGATGACTGTCAGATTTATAATTGGCAGATACAATGAGATCGTTAAACACATGACAGGTAATTAATTTTAAACATTTATTTGAGGACTGAATACCTTAGAAAATATCTACATTTTTGATGCATGTAGAAACAGTAAAAGTATAATATAGCCTTCAGAAAATGAAACTCAAATGCCATGTTATTTTTGTATATTTATAATAACAACTTTCATATATTTGAAATGTCAGAAAGTCATGCTTCTATCATGGTACAAGTACAAAGTCAAACAACTAATGAGCAAGATCTGAAAATTTATACAGCATATCATGAAAAAAATTCTTTATTATTTCATTATAAGTCTGTGTGTCATTTAAATGAATCCAAACAATTAACTGATTTTTGTCCTTTATAAGAGTGGTTAAGCTTTGATTTGGAGGTTAAATGTGACAAAAATGAAGGAACATCAAACTAATGGAAAGAATCTGTGTTTACAATACTTTGGAACTATGTAAACAGTTGAAACAGGTTTTCTATGACTGCTTATTTTCCTCCTGCTAATAACTCTTATTAGGATTCTAGCCACTGCTTTTGCAGTATTGATTTCAATGCCTTGTGGCATAATAACTGTAATATCCAACACTGAAAAAATATACCTCTAACCTAAAAAATCTTCCCTGCGCAGAGGTGCTAAAAAATAGAAAGGTATCAAAAATTAGGCATCTGTTGATGTTTTTGGATATGAGTTCCATTGATCTCATTCTAAACAGATGATAGAAGACTTGGTTGAGTGACTTAGCTTTACTGTTGAAATGGCCAGGACAGGTGTGTAAATGAGAAGGTATTGGTGAGAGATGGAGAAATCCAACTAGCCAACTCCTATCTTAAGCAGTGAGAATGAGCGAGGGATGGCTGGTGTCTGTAGATATGTGGAATTGACGTCAATGTGGCAGTGTTCCCTTTCTGCTTGCCACAAATACCCAGTTTGCACGGCCTCCCCTACATGCATAAATCTTCCCCATGATGGATATTTGAGTATGGAGGAAGAGGGACTGGAAGGTTGGGCTCTGTGGGGACTTCTCCAAGTGACAGCGGGTTTTATAAACGGGAGGAGGAGGAGTCACCAATGCCTACCTTGCCTTTTCCAAGTGTCACGCTCTTTTACTGGCTGACACAGAAACACCAGCCCCCAGGTGAGGGGCTGCGCTCTGTTGGTAGGGAAGCCTCCTTGCAGGAAGTGTCAACATTTCCATTTGTGGACTCACGTGGGTTCTCCAGCTGCCGCCAACAAGGCTGTCACACTTCCTCTGCCATTTTCAGATATGATCCCCGCTTCAACACCTGGATACACCTGGCCAGCATGAACCAGAAGCGAACGCACTTCAGCCTGAGCGTGTTCAACGGGCTCCTTTACGCCGTGGGCGGCCGCAATACCGAAGGCAGTCTGGCCTCGCTGGAATGCTACGTGCCCTCCACCAATCAGTGGCAGCCGAAGACGCCCCTGGAGGTGGCGCGCTGCTGCCACGCCAGCGCGGTCACCGACGGCCGGGTGCTGGTGACCGGCGGGTACATCGGCAGCGCGTACTCGCGCTCGGTGTGCGCGTACGACCCCGCCGGCGACTCGTGGCAGGAGCTGCCGGGCCTGAGCACGCCGCGGGGCTGGCACTGCGCGGTCACTCTGGGCGACAGGGTGTACGTGATGGGGGGTAGCCAGCTGGGGGCGCGCGGGGAGCGCGTGGACGTGCTGACCGTGGAGTGCTACAGCCCCGCGACTGGCCAATGGAGCTACGCGGCGCCGCTGCTGGTGGGCGTGAGCACGGCGGGCGCCTCGGCGCTGCACGGCCGCGCGTATCTCGTGGGGGGCTGGAACGAGGGCGAGAAGAAATACAAGAAGTGCATCCAGTGCTTCAGCCCAGAGCTCAACGAGTGGATGGAGGACGACGAGTTGCCCGAGGCCACCGTGGGCGTGTCCTGCTGCACCCTCTCGATGCCCAACAGCGTGACCCGGGAATCCCGAGCCAGCTCGGTGTCCTCCGTGCCAGTCAGTATCTGAACCCAGGTAGATGCGGGGACGCAGGAAGAACAAATAGGCGTTCGTGGGTAACCTTTGAGTTAGCGGAAAGGAAAATATATAACCTTTACTACAGTGGTTGTATCTTAAACTATATCGAGACCTATGTCTTGGTGGTTTTAAATTCCGGGTATGGCTTAATCTACCTCTGGGTCTGTTTTTTTTTTTGTTTTGTTTTGTTTTTTTCTTTCTTTTTTTATCTGTAAGCCACAAAGAAAAGAAACCACTCCTTTCACCGGCCGTTGGGTGGCAGGCAGAATTCACTGCAGGCAGTCTTCCACCAGGGCGTTTTCCCTTCATGCATAGCGGTTACACCCACATCTGAGAATTTTCTTTTACCCTTCAGTAGACGGGAAGCTTATTCGAGTAAGCAGTTTCATGTACAAAAGTTTATCTTCCTCTTTCTCTTTTTCTTTAGGAAGTTAAAAGCATTCATAGCTTTTATTTTAAAATGGAAATCCATCTATATCCATAAAGACTTAATTCTATATTTAAATGCAGTTTCTTTTTCTATACGTGACTGAGTAAAGAATATTGAAAGGCATCCCGTGACAAAGTCATAAAGCTTAAAACAACGTCTGACTGGAAAGTAACAGGGATTCCTCCCTGTAACTGTCACATTGATACCTTTGGTTTATCCCTTGTTCTCTTTTTCCTCTGTGCCTCAGTCTCCAGTGTAGTTGCTATCAAAAAACACTGCTCTCAAAGAAGAGAACCACTAGTCATTTAGTTTATGGTGTAAATTTAGATCATTTTGTTGTTTTTCCTACAAGTGTTTGCACTTCAACCTTCCTCCCCTATTAAAGGAATTGCAAGTATGATGGGAGCCTTACTCTGACCCTAAAAACTACACGGAGATGCAAACTTGACCCAATGTAAGCCCCAAGAAAGAACACCAAATAAAACTATGGCTGTAAGGATCATTAACTTAAAGCTTATGTAGCCCGAAGGTTATACAACTGGTAACAGTAATATGATTTCCCCCATTTTTTTTTTTTTTTTTTTTTTTTTTAATGGATGAGAATGAAGGGAACGTTTGGAATTCTTGGGTTTGGCAATAACATCCTGGTGGTAAATGTCATTGTTTTCCATTTCACAGCAATCCTCTTGATTTCTTAGTTAAAAATCTAACACATTTATCTCACATGGAAATATCAAAATAATATATGCCCATTCTGTTATAGATGTTTTCACTTCGTCTGCTCCAAATTAACTTTGCAAATTGAGGTGTATCCACTTGATATCATTTTCTTACATGTTTGCCAAGTTTTGGAGCAAGGGAATGATTGTAGTAAATGATACATATTTTCCTTTCTTATAATTTATCACTTTATTCTTTGATAGTTTCTTTGTTTTGGAGAAGTGGCCTATCAGTTATGGGTTATGTGCAATTAGGTTTTGAAAAATAAAACTATTTAAATGGTTAAACACGGGATACGTGGAAATGTAACTGGGTTCTCATTAATCCCATTTCTCCTACCTTGTGTAGATAGGTTATTGCTAGAGTTACAATATTTATATTTAAAACATTTTATTTGAACTGTGAAAAGTGGTTCATGTAGTACACTTTGTGGAACAATTTTATATCATTGCCCCTTATGAAAAGTTCAATTTCTGTGTATTTAATGGTAACACTTGGGTAAAGCCTACGACACTATAAGTTGAGAACAACGCATTGTTAATGTAAAAACACTGGGCTGTTTCCTCACCCCACACAGAACATTCAGAGCTTCTCCACGTACGGAGCAAACCTAAAGGTATCTGCTCCCTTGACTCTCTGTTCAGGCTGGAAAGTAAAGCTGTATAAGAAACTAGTTTATGGAGCAAGTTAAATCACTAAGCCCCTTAAGTTACCATTGTACAAACCACAGATAACCCTTGTCCTTGAAGCATCATTGGGAAAATAAACTTTTCATTTTTAATAAATTATTTTGGCCACAACCCACAATGCCTGTGTGAGGGTGACTATAACATCTTTTAGTTTGATATAAATGTATGTTCTTGTACAGTTGAGATGCCTGTAGTATATCACAAATTTTGAGAGGAAAAAAAGTGATTTCTTATGGATTATAGGTCATAAGTGGGCAAATAGACATAATTCCTGATGTGCACTAGTAGTGTCTCCCGTTGAGATCCTAGAAGTTCGGTGAAGTGGAGGGCCTATGGCTTGAAATGAAATGAGAATCAATCAGTTGTAACATTTTATCTTGGAAGAATGAGGAGAGATTGACACTAGAGGATTTTTCAGCAATCAGAGCTTGATGAGAGCTTGGTGCAGACACGGAAGTGGCTTTTTATTTTTTTTTATTTATTTTTTTTTTCAACGTTTATTTATTTTTGGGACAGAGAGAGACAGAGCATGAACAGGGGAGGGGCAGAGAGAGAGGGAGACACAGAATCGGAAACAGGCTCCAGGCTCTGAGCCATCAGCCCAGAGCCTGATGTGGGGCTCGAACTCACGGACCGCGAGATCGTGACCTGGCTGAAGTCGGACGCTTAACCGACTGCGCCACCCAGGCGCCCCGGAAGTGGCTTTTTAGAGATGAGACTGGAGACATGTTGGAGCTGGGTAAATCATTTGAAATTACCGTGTAATGTATTTTCTATGTTGTTTATTTGAAGACTGAGAAAACCCACGTGTCTGGGCGTACCAGGTTCCTGGGGACGTTGCTGCTCTCTCTTCTGTTTCAACAGTTAGGTCCATAAATAAAGACCAATATGAATTTAGGATCCTGGAATTTCTGACATAACAAATTGATAGGGAGCATGGAACATTAAGTGTTGGTGAAAGTGCTGTGTCCTGAAACATCCCTCACTGACAACTAAAAGACACGAAAGTATGTAGAATCAAACTAATGCGTGTCACTTTTTGCGCACGAGCGAAACGTACTCTTTAACCCTGCCATTGAAGCAGTTGCCCCTAGAACCGCGACGGTTTCTCCATGTTTCCCAACTGGAAAAGCACTTCATTTTCCATGTGTTTAAAGCATTCAATTATACTTTTGGTCTCAGGATCCAACCCTATACCTCCTTTTATTTTTCTGAAAGAAAAGGACGTGTTATTTTTGTAATGCCAACATTACATCCTGTGACTAAATAAAAGCATCAGTTCCGCCTACCAGAGCAATAGCAAGTTACCCAGTAGCTGAAATAAGAAGCTTTCTTTTTCTGAATGGGCCAGAGACCTGATGTGCGAGTCTCAAGGAAACAAGACTGTCATGTGGTCTGTCCGTTGTTAGCGTGCCACTGTCGTCCCTGATGCTCCAGTTGCTTTCGGTGTCATTGAATGAGTTTTGTGTTTTTCCCTGTTGTAAGACTGGTTATGAATAGAAGGTCAGTGATGGTACAGATTAATATAATTCTAAACAGTAATTAGACGGTAGCGGGGTGTTACGAGTGAAGAGGTGTAATTGAGGCAAGAAGGAAGTGAAAATGTACTGAATGGTTCTATGGTTAAGGCAACACAGCAATTATAGTAAGTGTATTTTACAAATATGCATGTAACTAGAGGCTTCCCTGGAAATATGTAAGTGTTAAAAGGTCAATTTTTTGCTGGTTATCTCGGCCAAATGCCTTCAGAATTTATCCAAGACACTAGATAAAAGAAACTAAAATCACTTCATTTAATTTTTTCCCTGAGTTACAAAGCAATAAGTTTATGTAATCTTCTCTGAATGATTCTTCTGAATTCTTTTCTGAACAAATGTTCTCTGAATGAGCTATATCCCCATCCCAGCCACGGATGAATATGTCTTCTAGCACAAGGCAGCATTATAAGGAATTATTTTTCAGTATGTCTCTTCATATCAGTAAAAACTGTAGCAAAATTTCCTCAATGCTCCTCCCATGGTAATTATGAGAACTAAAGAATCTAAAATATTAAAGATTTACCCTCCAGCACATTCAGAAGGTAAAAACCATTTAAATTTCCTTCCCAGAGACTTTGAGATGAAATGCTTGTCTTGGATACTCCTTTTAAAACAACTTTGTATCTAGTCAGCAAATTCTGGCAAAAAAAAAAAAAAATTCTTTGCTTGAAACATTCTGGTACCATATAAGGAACAACAAACTAAAATGTATGTGGTGTCTGTAACCTCATCACTACCAATAAAGCTGCATTCAGTAAGAGCTCAGTCAGTGATCCACGTGGACAGTTTTGTAGTGTCCTTTGTGTGATAACTGGGGTGTGTGGTTTCTTCCTCTAGTTAGTTTTCATGGTGACTCACTTCAGCAAAACACAACAAGAAAATGAAATGAGATGATTGAAGAGCTGTTTCAGCTGCTTGAGGACTGGTAAAGGAAAAATGTATTTTTATACATCGAGAGTGATTTGCTTTGTAGCTCAGACAAAAGCCTACGTTTGGTCTGTCTCAGCCCTGACCACTTAGAAGTCATAGATGAAGTGTGGTGGTTTCTAGTCTCGTTCCCACCCTGACCATAGCCAACCTGGCATGGACTCTGGTTCATCATCATTTGCATCGAAACTACATGTTAGGAAATGAAACTGTATTTTGTGCCAACAAACCCTCACAGCCTTACTCTTCCACCTCACCTTCCAAATGAGCAAATGAAATATAACCAACATAAGATGCTCAGTCTTTGATCTGGTTTAGTAGTTAAAGAATAACACTCAGTTGAGGCCATTAGTCATTTCTAGAAAATTCTAAATGGCAGCGATTACTTTTTCTTAAACTTCTCCAAGCTTTGTCACCATGAAAAGAGACTAGAACGGCCCCCAAACAGAAACAGCCTGGTGCCACATTCCCAGTTCTGAGCACACTGGCAGGTGCCCCAGAGTTTCCTTGACTTTTCTTTGAACTCCCACATTTATAACTCCAAGCTTCCCCACCGGTCTGCACTCCCTCCCCTGTCCACATACTAGTCCGTTTATCCAATTCTTAGCACACGTGAAATTATTTAAAGACACTAATTACATCTAAGGCACTCCAGTATGTATCAAAGGAATAACCATATTGCATACACTGCGT